GATTGTCTTAATAAAAGTGTCTTCAGCTTTGCTACCATTTTCTACAAGTTTCACATGTGAGATCCCTACAGACCTTTAATTCGCACCCTCACTCTACTTTCTCTTCCACATCCAGCAGACGTATCACCCTCATTCACATTCTTGTCTCTTCACCGCTTGAATGAGCACGTCTTCTTTTTGAATAGGTCTTTGTCTCTACTACCTGCTTCTTCTTTGCCTTCATAAGAATTGAGATCAGTCCCTGAACGATAAAAAGCCTGAAGAAATAGAACAACTGCCTGGAGAGCTCTCCCCTGCACGTGTTTGGTGGTAGAACTGCAATACTTTGTGGCCATAGAAAGGATGGCAGAGTCAGACCTCTAGACTGCCCAAATTAATCTTTATAGAAAAGTAACTGATGAGATTACCCAGTCTTTCGGAAGAACAGAACTTCTCACATGCAAACTAATGTGAGAAGTCCAAGGTTTCTGATATATCTCAAACATGAAGAGTGAAGGCCTTTAGGGTAAACCCTTATAGAAAAAGGGCAGATATTCAAATAACAGAGATCAGAAATAAAAACAATGTGTTGATTCTTCCTCCTTGAGACTTTCTGTGATAAAAACCACATAGGAAATAGAAAACTGCTTGGCATAGAAAGCAAACTCTAATTAAATATTAGCTCCCCAAGTAAAATCCGAACAGGAATTAACGCAGGCTAACCCGCATATTCCAACAGAAAGAGTGCCTCATTTCCATAGCTACAGAATAGGTACCACCAAATCAAAAATGCTCAGGCAAAAGAAGAGAAAGTGAAAGGAAATATGTGACTTACATGTGCTCCAGCTCTCTTTGTGTATCTTCTAAAGAAATGCCCAGCAGCACACAGAGGCCTCGTCCTATTGAACTTATCTGTTCACCACCCACTGGGAAAGGGGAGGAAAAAAAAGTAAGACGAAATCACAGAATCACAACCAGATCAGAGCACCGTCCAGCCTGACCTTGAATGTTTCCAAGGACGGGGCATCCACCTCCTCTCTGGGCAACCTGTGCCAATGCCTCACCATTCTTACTAGAAAAGCTTCTTACTTACATCAAACATAAATCTCCCCTTTCAGTTTGAAACCATTTCCCCTTGTCCTATCACAACAGATCCTACTAAAGAGTCTGTTCCCTTCTTTCTTACAGCCCTCCTCTGGATACTGAAAGGCCACACTCAGGTCTCCCTGGAGCCTTGTCTTCTCCATGCTGAACAGCCCCAGCTCTCAGCCCGTCCTCGTGGGAGAGGTGTTCCATTTCTTGGCTCATTTTTGTGGTCCTCCTCTAGATACACTCCAACCAATCTACACCTCTCCTGTACTGAGGACTCCACATCTGGACACAGCACTCCAGGTGAGGTCTCACAACACAGAGCAGAGGGGTGAGATCACCTTCCTTGCCATCCTGGCCACGCTTCTTTTGATGTAGCCCAGGATACAGTTGGCCTTCTAGGCTGTGGGGGCAAAAGCTGGCTCATGTCCAGCTTGCCATCCACCTGTGCCCACAGGTCCCTTTCAGCAAGGCTGTGCTCTATGCATACACCCCCCACTTGTACTGATAGTGGGAGTTGCAATGACCCAGTTACAAGACCTTGGCACCTGAGTCTGTTGAACCTCATGAGGTTTACTTGGGCCCCATGTTGGAGCCTAGGTCCCTCTGGATGGCATCTCATTCCTCAGGCTTGTCAACCACACCACGCAGCTTGGCGTCGTGCACAAACTTGCTGAAGGGGCACTGGATCCCACTGCTGATGTCTGATAATGACATTTCAGAGTACTGGTCCCAGCAGCGTCCGTTAAGAGACACCACTTGCCACTGATCTCCTCTCCATTGACCACCACTCTCCATGTTCGATATGAAGAATTTTAACTACAATTGGACCAGCAGCACTAAGCACAGCAGCAACACAACACTCTCCCACCTTAGGAAAATGACCCGACTGAATTCAGTAAGCATTCTTCATTTCCGTGCCGCACCACCCCCAGCAGCTGCGAGAAAGTCACGCCTGTTCGGGCCTCTTACTCCTTATCTGAAATAAGACTTCGATCAACGCCCAGCTCTGACCCTCCCGCTGAGAACAGAGCTCCTTAACGGCGGTAAAAACAGAAGGCAAGAGACCGCAGGCGGCACGGAAAGGCGACTCGGGCAGCGCGGGAAGCACAGCGCCGGGACACCCGAAAGCCACGCGCCAACCATGGCGAAGCGAGGGGTGCTCTGAGGGACCGCGCCGAGAGGAGTGCGGACGGGGGCCCGGCCGCGGGGCGGGGGGA